AAATAAAAAATAAAGAAGTCTGTCCTCAAAGAACTGACAGTTTTCAGAGAAACAAACATATGAATGGGAAAGATCCAGAAAGCAGCTCGTAAAGAAGGAGGCGCCGATGGGACACAGAGGAGGGATTTGGAAGTCCCCCAACAGGAGAACCACCTGCCTCACCCTTGCACCAAATTCTAGTGACCGAAGTCTGACATCACAGGGTTTTTACAGAAAGACAGGGATATGCGGCCTCCCCATTGTGAAAAGCTCCCGACTCCTCCTCCTGTTTAAACTCTAGAAATAGTGGTCCCATGACTTGGAGAAGCGTCAGCACTGCCTGGCTCTGCTGTGGTCCACTTCCTTAGAGTGTGAGCAGGCTTGAGTTCTAAGGTTCTGTCCTCAAGTTGAAAGATTTGTGGTTGCAGCCAAGGACGCACTCGTGCGCACACACGCATGCACGCACACGGAGAATACATTATATATATGCAGTTATTTTCATTGTGATGATCGCCAGTCTTTTTTTGTTGTGTGACATGCACCTGCCAGTGTTTTACTTTAATTCATAATAAACACAGTACCTTCTAAAGTCTGTATAAGGCCAGGCACGGTGGCTCACACCTGTAATCCCAGCACTTTGGGAGGCCGAGATGGGTGGATCACCTGAGGTCGGGAGTTTGAGACGAGCCTAACCAACATGGTGAAAGCCTATCTATCTCTACTAAAAATACAAAAATTAGGCAGGTGGTGGACGCCTGTAGTCCCAGCTACTCAGGAGGCTGAGGCTGGAGAATCACTTGAACCCAGGAGGTGGAGGTTGCAGTGAGCCGAGATTGCACCACTGAACTCCAGCCTGGGCAACAGAGCAAGACTCCATCTCAAAAAAATAAAAATATATTTAAAAATGAAGTCTATATAAGAGGAGACTGGATTTCAAAAGCCTGTGAACTCAAATGAAGTGGCAGTAATACCTGCCCCAAGACTAAGGCTCCTAAACCCCTTCCAGAAGGGCAGGACCTCCTCCCTGCAGCATTAACATGACCTGTCTCCCCAAGGCTGCAGTTTCCCAGCTTGCTGAGATGCACACCCTGTGTTCTTCCAATCAAATCCCCTAGCAGGGCGCCTCCCCTGCTGTTCTGCTGGGCACCCTTCACCCCTCCACTGGGCACAGCCCCCCTCCCATCAACCATTCTGAGTCTCAGGGTGCCAAAGGTGTGCTGTCCTCGGCAGGTGGTGGGGAGTTGTCCCCGCTGCTTGCCTGGTTCCCAAGGCCACTCTTCTGCCAGCTCCCCCAAGGACACCATTCATTCACATCCAGCCCCGCCTCTCTCCACCAGGAAGTCAAAGAGGCTGATGAGAGAAGAAAGCCACACTGTCTTCCTCTCCTTCTTCTTCCCTGTCCCTGAACCTCCTCAAAATCACCTTCCCCTCTCCCTCCACTGTCAGAAGCCCACAGGCACGTCAATTCATGATGGTGGGTGGTGGGTGTCACTCTCATGCAAGGCATATTTGAGCCTCAGACTCAACTCAGCCAGATCCATTGTTCTATCTCAATGGATTTTCCTTTTTCTTTCTTTCTTTTTCTTAGAGACAGGGTCTTGCTCTGTCACCCAGGCTGGAGTGCAGCCTTCAACTCCTATGCTCAAGCAGTCTTCCCACCTTAGCCTCCCAAGTAGCTGGGACACAGCCACACATCACTATGCCTGGCTAATTTTTTTGTTTTTTAAGACGGAATCTCGCTGTGTTGCCAGGCTGGTGTGCAGTGGCACAATCTTGGCTCACTGCAACCTCCGCCTCCTGGGTTCAAGTAATTCTGCCTCAGCTTCCTGAGTAGCTGGGACTACAGATGCCTGCCACCATGCCCAGCTATTTTTGTATTTTTAGTAGAAATGGGGTTTCACCATGTTGATCAGGCTGGTCTCGAACTCCTGACCTCATGATCCACCATGACGGCCTCCCCAAGTGCTGGGATTACCGGCATGAGCCACCGTGCCTGGCCTATTTTTTTTTTTTTTTTTTTTGTAGAGACGGGGTTCCGAACTATGTTGCCCAGGCTGGTCTCAAACTCCTGGGCTCAAGTGATCCTCCAGTCTTGGCCTCCCAAAGTGCTGGGATTACAGGCATGTGCCCAGTGCTCGGACTCAATGTATTTTCTTAAATGAAGGTGCAACAAAAAAGTCATTTTTGTTTCAGAGTTTTTAAAGACTGTCCTCATCCCTTGCTGGGACTGGCATCGCATGGACCACTGAGAATCTCTTTGCATTTATACTCGGTGCCTCCCTGACACTCAGGAAATAACATGGAGTGTGAGTGGAGCTGACTTCACCTGCTTTTGTGAATTTCAGAGACGACTTACTGGCTGCTCAGAAGGAAATCCTGTCCCAGCAGGAGGTCATCATGAAGTTAAGGAAAGACCTCACCGAAGCCCACAGCAGAATGTCAGATTTAAGAGGTTTGAACGATCTCCTGTGTCTCTTGACCTCCGACCCACTAGAGAAAGGAAAGAGATGAGGCTTAAGAGTCGAAATCTTTGGCATAAGAAATCCTGCTTCCCTGTGCTGTCCCGGCACCCCAGGCAAGGCTTGATCCTTGCACAGAGAGAGGGCTCAGTACATGCTGCTTGAGGAGTTGAGTGAATGAATGAATGATATGTGTTCGTGCTTCTCAAACTTCTTTGTCCAATCTTCCAGATGACAGGTCTCTGCTTAAATGCCACTTCCTCCAGGAAGCCCTCCCTCACTCACCCTCACCAAACATAGCCAAGAGATCCTGCTATGCTTGGGCTCCCTTGGCCCTTCTACTCTGTCTAACCTACCACTTAGCACACAGCAAAGCTACCTTTGACTGTTTTTTTTGTTGTTGTTGTCATTGTTTGTTTGTTTATAACTCAGGGTCAGCAAAAGCTGTATCCTGGATATATCCCTGATTCCCATCCTCCACTGAGTCCCTGACTCAATGCCAGAAGGCACAGGGCACATTCTCCAGAGGACTTTGGACCTCTGCACTGAAATGCAACTTTCTTCTTCAGGGAGAAGTTTCCTTTAGCACAGATTTGCTTCTGGAAGCGGAGACTTGGAGGGCAATCCCGGGCTGTCCCTGCGGCAGGCCATTTTGCACAAGCCCCAGCACTCACTAGCTTTGGGACTGAGGGCAAGGGGGTCTCTCCAGGCCTCCTCTTCCTCAGATGCCAAGTAGAGACAACGTGACTTCTTCCTAGGATTGACGTGGCAGTCAGTGGCTACCTAGAGCTGGGGCAAAACAACTGAGTTCTGCGCTGTTCTGGACAGACCCAAACAACGCTGCCTCCAGACTCCCGCTTCGCTCCTCCTCATCTCCGCCCTTTCACTTCTGCCTCCTTCTTTCCTGCATCTGGGAGCAGCCTCTCTTTCCCATCCCTACTCTCCCTCCAGCAAGGACGCAGACAGGCAGGAGCTGGAAGATAGAACTAAGCCTGGGGAAGTGGAGGAAGGGAAAGGAATGCTCTTATCTTGCGTCCGTCCCAAGCCCGTCAGTGGTATTTGCTCCCTGTAGCTGTTGCTGTTGCATTTAGGGCTGAATTTTTCCATAATAGGGTATGAGAAAGTGTGGGGTAGAGGCTACAGTGTCCGGTTCTCAAGGAGAGGGATGCTGAGCCCGATTCCGTGTCTGCTCACTCTTAGTTGCATGACCTCAGGCAAATCCCTTATCTCTTTGAGCCTTAGTTTCTGCATCTGTGAAGTGGGGATGTTCATAGTAGCTACCTTATGCCTATAGTCCCAGCACCTTGGGAGACTAAGGAGGGCAAGTCACCTGAGTGATCACCTGAGTGATCCACCCGCCTCGGTCTCCCAAGGTGCTGGGACTACAGGCGTAAAGAGTTCAAGACCAGCCTGGCCAACATGGTGAAACGCTTTCTCTACTGAAAATACAAAAATTAGTCAGGCATGGTAGTGCATGCCTGTAATCCCAACTACTCAGGAGGCTGAGGCAGGAGAATCACTTGAACCCGTGCGGCAGAGGTTGCCATGAGCCAAGATCGCAGCTTGGGTGACAGAACAAGACTCTGTCTCAAAAAAAAGAAAAAAAAAAAAGTGTCTACCTTGAAGGTTGCTACACAGATTGAGGTCATGCTAAGCAGAGACAACTGAGTCTGAGCTTCCCCAGAAGCAAACACAGAGAGCAGAATTCCACTGCAGGCAGTTTATTTTCGAGGTAATCCCAGCAGGAAACAACAATCCCAGCAGAGGGGGAAGGGTGGAGACTGGACGGTCAGTCACGTGGGCACAGGGGCAACTGGAGCTTAATTTGGCTGGGAATGCTGGGGCGTGAGGGAGAACACATGCGCCGGGCTGCCCCACCTAAGGGGTGCAGACTCCAGCCCGCACCAGCCATTGGCAGGAGGTCGCCACACCTCTGCTCTTACCTTGCCCCGGTCCCAAGCCCTTCAGTGGTATTTGCTCCCTGTATGGTGGCCATATAGCAGAGGAGGCTTCAGAGGCCTTAGCAGAGATGCAGAAACAGGCAGCTGAATGCCAGCTGGAGTGCCCTGAAATGCCAAAGGGACGCCGGTGCAGCCCTGCCAGCATCCACTGGTGCAAGGCGAGGGTGGGGCAGGAGCCCACACACCTCATGGAGATGCCACCGCCAGCAGGTGACAGTTGCGTGATCTTGCTGTTACTTGCTGAGGTGCAAGCAGACCTCCTGGCTGTTCCTAAAGCCCCTGAGAATTCCCAGGGGGCAGACCTGCCTGGTGGTTCTTGTAGGCCCGGCAGATCTGCCGTGGCCCTTAGCGGAGCCCCTCTCACCGGCCCTCCTGTCACTCCCAGGGGAGCTGAATGAGAAGCAGAAGACGGAACTGGAGCGGAACGTGGCACTGGTCCAGCAGCAGAGCAAGGAGCTGAGTGTGCTCAGGGAGAAGATGGTCCAGATGAGCAGCCTGGTGGAAAAGAAAGACCGGGAGCTGAAGGCCCTCAAGGAGGCACTCAGGTTGGGGGGTGGTTGCAGGCGGTCTCCTGGTGTGGGGAGCCACTGAGCCTTGCACACAGAGAGGGCTCAGTATATGCTGCTTGAGGAGTTGAATGAATGAATGAATGATATGTGTTTCATGACTTTGCTTAGTTCTGTGCTTCTCAGACTTCCTTGTCCAATCTTCTAGATGACAGGTCTCTGCTTAAAAGCCACTTCCTCCAGGAAGCCCTCCCTCACTCACCCTCACCAAACATAGCCAAGGGATCCTGCCGTGCTTGGGCTCCCTTGGCCCCTGTACTCTGTCTAACCTACCACTGAGCACACAGCAAAGCTACCTTTGCCTGTTTTTGTTGTTGTTTTGTTGTTGTTCTTGTTTGTTTTTTTTGAGATGGAGTCTCACTTGCTCTGCCACCCAGGCTGGAGTGCTGTGGAGCAGTCTCAGCTCACTGCAACCTCTGCCTCCCAGGTACAAGCCATTCTCGTGCCTCAGCCTCTGGAGTAGCTGGGACTATATGCATGAGCCATCACGCCTAGCTAATTTTTTTGTGTTTTTAGTAGAGACTAGGTTTCACCATGTTGGTCAGGCTGGTCTCGAACTCCTGACCTCAAGTAATCAGCCCACCTCAGCCTTCCAAAGTGCTGGGATTACAGGTGTGAGCCACCACACCCGGCCCATTGCCTGTTTATCGCCTGCCCTCCCCACAAGGACAGGGTCTTTGTAGACCTTGCCCACTGTTGATTCCCAGTACATAAAGGAAATTAATATTTATTTAACAAATGAATAAACTGGAGGTGTCAGCTTAAAATATGTAATAGTGTCATTGTCCCATGGGTTTATCTTTAAAAATACCCATGAGTTTGCATTTTTACCTGTAATCTTACCCATATTTTAAAATGAGTCATGTTTTCACAAAAAAGTTTGAGTGAAATTGATGTTTTGTGGATATTTGGTAGCTTCCTGTGCCTTGTGGCCGAAGCGGATTCATAGTTGCTGAAGGAACAGACTCCAGACCCAGCTGCCTGGTTTCAAAGCCAGACCCTAGGCCAGGTGCGGTGGCTCACACTTGTAATCCCAGCACTTTGGGGGACTGAGGTGAGCTGATCACCGAAGGTCAGGAGTTTGACACTAGCCTGGCCAACATATAGTGAAACCCCGTCTCTACTAAAAATACAAAATTAGCCGGGCGTGGTGGTGCACGCCTGTCCCAGCTACTCGGGAGGCTGAGGCAGGAGAGTCGATTGAACCTAGGAGGCGGAGGTTGCAGTGAGCTGAGATCACACCATTGCACTCCAGCCTGGGCAACAAGAACAAAACTTCGTCTACAAAAAACAGAGGCCAGACCCTCTACAAGCAAGGTGACTGCAGGCAGATTGCTGTGTGTCTCTCTACTTGTCTGTAAAATGGGACAAGCAGAGTACCTAACTTGTGGGATTATGAGAAATAGAAGGGCTAGCCACACATAAAGTGATAGAAACAGCGGGCATGCAGTGAATGTCCCCGTAAAGCCACAGCAGGTGTCCACAGCCCCAGTGTAGGAACCAAGGGCAGGTGCTCCCTGTCCTGGCCACTCTCCCATGAGTTCCCTGAAACCGAATTCTCTAGAAATCTGGGAGCTGGAAACTGAAGTCTCAAAAGAATTCTGTTTCCTATAAAAATAGAGCTCCGTGGCTGGACCCCCTGGCTCACGCCTGTAATCCCAGCACTTTGGGAGACCGAGGCAGATAGATCACAAAGTCAGAAGATCAAGACCATCCTGGCCAACATGGTGAAACCCCAGTTCTAGTAAAAACACAAAAATTAGCTGGGTGTGGTGGCACACACCTGTAATCCCAGCTACTCAGGAGGGTGAGGCAGGAGAAATGCTTTAACCCGGGAGGCGGAGATTACAGCGAGCCAAGATCGCACCGCTCTACTCCAGCCTGGCGACAGAGTGAGACTCCATTTCAAAAAAAAAAAATAGAGCTTCATTTCCTGGTCTTCCAATGAGTACAAAAGTAATTTGTGGTTCCCAGAACCTCATGCCATCTGCCTCTTCTCTGCCCTAGGGCTTCCCAAGAGAAACACAGTCTCCAGCTGAACACAGAGAAGGAACAGAAGCCCAGGAAGAAGACCCAGACGCGTGACACCTCTGTGCAGATAGAGCCAGTCCACACCAACGTCTTCTCCAGCAGCCAAGAGGTGAGTGCCACCCACCCGAGCACCTGGAAGGACGTGTTAAGACGGGGCCCAGTGGTGGCTTTCTTTCCTTTTGAAGATATTTTCATCCTAAGTTCCAAAAGTATGACTTGCCCGTGTGAAATGTATAACGTAAATCGCAGAACCCTGCCTGTTCGGTCGCAGTCACCAGAGGTCACAGCTGTCCACAGTGTGATGTGTGTGCCGTGAGATCTTTCCCTCACAGAGGCCTCCACGATCTCACACGGTCAAGAAGGTGCAGTGGCTGAAGATCAGGTGTGGATTCACTCCACCTGCGTTTGAATCTCAACTCCTCTGCTTAGAAACTCTGTGAACTTGGGGAGGTTACTGTGCTGCAGTTCCCTTTTCTGAGAGTAATGACCATCCCCACCTTATGGGTTGGTTGAGAAATAGATTTTATGTATATACACACCTGAATACACACACACAAACACATACAACCCATACATATAGATATTTACTTATTCATTCATTTATATTTACTTCAAGGTGAGGTCCCACTCTGTCACCCAGGCTGGAGTGCAGTGGTACAATCAAAACTTCACTGCAGCCTCAACTTCCCAAGTTTCAAATGATCCTCCTGCCTCAGCCTCCCTAGTAGCTGGGACTATAGGTTCATGCCACCACACCTGGCTAATTTTTGTATTTTCAGTAGAGATGAGGTTTCGCCATGTTATCCAGGCTGGTCTTGAACTCCTGGGACTCAAGAGATCCACCTACCTCGGCCTCTCAAAGTGCTGGGATTACAGGTGTGAGCCACCATGCCTGGCCCATAGAGATATTTGTTTAGTACATAATTTTTTTGCTAATGGTATCAAACCATGTACATTCTGCAACATGGGTTTATTTTTACAGACACTATATAATGGGCATCTTTGCAAGAATATGAAGATCTGCCTCACCCTTTTACATGGCTGTATGGAATTCCACTGTGTTTGTTTTTTCCAACCAGTCCCCTTTGGATGGACACCTAGGCTGTGTGTCCTCTTGTGCAACGCTGCATTTAATGTACTTGTTCTTCCTGAATTGTGCTTGATGGGGCCAAACTGCCTTCCCAAAGAGCCATGCAGTGAGTGCTCCGTGGCTGTGTCTTGGTAGCTGTTCTGTGCACCTGCCCAGAAGCATCGGATGGGAGCGTGTCTTTCAGTGAAAACAGCCTTTACTGGGCCATCCTGGAAGCTGGTACTCACACTCTGTCCTATGGCTGGGGCTGCGCTACTCCCCGTGATCCACAGCATGCGATTGTGAGGTGCAGTGGGTCCTCAAGGCCCTGGGTTTCCCGGGGCCTGGGACTATTCTTTCCCTGAGGCTTTTGGAGCCTAGAGAGCATGGCGTTCCAGTAATGGGCATTGGATTTTTGCTGGGAAGCCAGGCCAAATGTGTCAGCTTGCTTTCTGGCGCGCTCAAAGATGCCCTTCCCCTGCCAGACAGCCTTGAGCCAGGGCTGCAAACAGCTTGAATGAAAGGGCTCGAGGTCCAGCCAGCTGTCCTTGGCAGCGATCACTGTCCAGAGCACCTTCACACAGTGTCTCCTGGTTGCTCAGGGCGACCAGGAAGAGGGGTGGCCGTAAGCTCCATGGGGGGGGAAGTGTGCGGCACTCCTGGTGGAATCCCAGGCTTTTAGAGCAGAACCTGACCCATATTCATTCACTCATTCAGTGACTATTGAGCATCTGCTGTGTGCCAGGTCCTATGCCAGGGATAGGAGAAGACACACAGGGCCCACCCACACCAAACGCCCCTGGACTCTGTGCACATCTGTTGGACTGGATTGTTGAACTGGGATGCCCTTGATGTTTAGTTTATATTATGTGGTGGAATTCGTGGAGGAGGATTGGGGAGGGAGACTGCAAGATAAAAGGGAAAATATGTTTGTTCCTTCTTGGAATGGTTTTCCTCCCTCGGGCTCCTTTCTGCTTTCTAAGCCAGAGTGGGTCAGAGGGCTTAAGAGTTGTATGAGAAAGAATCTCCATCCTCTCCAAATAAACCAATTCCCCGAAGGGCCGTGAGGAGGGGTCATGTGGTGCTCCCGGTACCCCTCAGGCCAAGCACAGGCTGTGATGCAGCCTCAATGCCGTGGCTACCCCTACACCCCCAAAACTCAGTATCCCCTACCCCCTGCTAAACATAGAGAAGGACAGAGAGAGAGGGAGAATATTCCAGGTTGTTTACTCCCAGGGCAAACACGCATCCTCAAGAGGTGACCAAGGCCAGTGTAGAGCCAACCCCGGAAGGGAAGCAGCCTTGCAGCTGTGAGCAGGCTGGAGCCAGGGTCCGAGGACAAGCGAGGCCCTGCTAAGCGCAGCAAGGGTGGGGTGCCTTTCCCACAAAGCTGCGGAGCCCTGCTCCCAGGCGGAAAGCCGGGGCAAGCTCTTTACAGCTCCTGTTTCTGACCTCTGTTCATGCAGGCTCCATATTTATTGAGCACCTACTAGGCTCAGATACAGCCCTGGGCCCTGGGAGTAGCACAGTCCTCAGAGGAGATAAAGACTGCTCTCACCGAGCCCATCACGGAGGGGAGACACGGAAATACACAAGCCAAGATCAGGCGAAATGTCCAGTGGGAGTAAGTGCTCTGAGGAACGGCACAGAGTGACCTGGGGGCAGGAGGGCTCTTTGGGGTCGGGTGGCGAGGGAGGCCTGTGCTGGAGGAGACGTGGAGCAGAGCCGGAAGGAAGGGAGGGAACAAGTGATGGGGACATGGGGGCGGGAGTAGAGACCGTCCCAGGGGGACCTCGGACAGCACTGTGGAGTCCCTTGAAGGAGGCCACAGGCCCTGTTCCCCGGTGGCAGTGTGGCTAGCACAGGGCCAGGGATGTGTCATACAGGCTTTGGCAAGCACTTGAACCATCAAAGGAAGAAGAACAAACAGATGTCCCCTTTGCGCTTCTCTGCTTTCTTTTCCCGAGAGCACTTATCACTCTCTGGAATTAGAGTATCTGTGCGTCTGTCTGTCTGTTATCTGTCCGCCCCATAGAACTTTGCCCACTGCAGCAAGGGCTCCTCTGCTCACCCCCTGATCTCACCCCTGCCTAGAACAGTGTCTGGCATGCAGTCACTGCCATCAGCCAGTAGATAGATGGATTGGCAGCTTTTTAACAATGTTGGTTCACTTCATACTACATAGATATTATCTTCTGTACCTATATCTAGCTATATATGTATATGCGTGAAGTGAACCAAAACTGTTATGTTAGAAATTATTATAAAAGAGCCAGATTGTCAATTTCTTCTCCTTCTTGCCAGTTTGACTGAAATCTTCCCTGGCAGCTCTATCTACAACTGAAAACTGCTCCCAACACCCCACCCCACCTCCCCGCTTAATTTTCTCTGTACTGGTTATCACTTCTACCGGATATTTTCACCTTGTTGTCTGTCTGCCCACATGAGGATGCAAAATCTATGACAACAGGGCCGTTGCGGGTTTAGCCACTGCGGAATCCCTAGAGCCCAGAACCAGGCTTGGCACACAGAGGTGCTCAATAAATCGATGTGTGATGAATGAATTAATGAATGAATTGCTTACCTGAGAGAAGCATTGTTTAACTCAGAGTTTATGAATGGACTTCAGGAGGTTTTGACGCTCTGGAAGTTGTATGCTAATATTTGTGTCGATGTGAATTTTTCTGGAGGAAAAAAAAAAAAAGCCCTGCATGCTTCCAAATCTTAAAAGGGTGCACGACCCTTAAAAGATGAAAAAGACCTTTCCTTGTCTGTGCTCTTAGTAAACCCAACTTAGTAAACCCAACTCTGGGTACAGTGGCCCACGCCAGTAATCCCAGTGCCTTGGAAGGCTGAGGCAGGAGGATTGCTTGAGCCCAGGAGTTTGAGACCAGCGTGGGCTACAAAGTGACACCTGTCTCTACAAAAAAATAGAAAAAATGAGCCGGGTGTGGTGGCACGCACCTGTAGTCCCAGCTACAGAGCTGGAAGGATGACTTGAGCCCAGAGGTAGAGGCTACAGTGAGCTGCGATCATGCCATTGCCTTCCAGGCTGGGCAACAGAGAAAGATCCTATCTCCACAAACCAAAATAAACAACGCGCGCGCGCACACACACACACACACACACACACACACACACACACACACAACTGTAGTCTGAGCTGTTTAGGATGATCCATCTGGGTCTAGTGACTACCATATGGGACGGTGCAGGTTTAAAACATTCCCTTCACCACAGGAAGTTCTGTGGGACAGTGCCACTCTGGAGGCTCCGAAGTCTCAGAGAAAGGTTTTCCTTTCTCCAGCCCAAATAAGAGCCAATCTATCAAATCCCCCTAGCAAATATATTTTTTTTTCTTTTTTTTTCTTTTGAGATGGAGTTTCGCTCTTGTTACCCAGGCTGGAGTGCAATGGCGCGATCTCGGCTCACCGCAACCTCCGCCTCCTGGGTTCAGGCAATTCTCCTGCCTCAGCCTCCTGAGTAGCTGGGATTACAGGCACACGCCACCATGCCCAGCTAATTTTTTGTATTTTTAGTAGAGACGGGGTTTCACCATGTTGACCAGGATGGTCTCGATCTCTTGACCTCGTGATCCACCTGCCTCGGCCTCCCAAAGTGCTGGGATTACAGGCTTGAGCCACCGCGCCCGGCCCTCCCCCTAGCAAATATTAAACAACCATCCTTATCACCAGTTAAAAGAAAGCATCATGCATTCTCATCTGAAAATGCCCTTCCAGGAGTAGAATTTGCTGTGGCTGTTCAGAAATAAGACCAGAATGGCAGCAAATGGAAACCCAGGCATGGAATAGTATTAGGAGAAAAAGAAAACATGGAGAGGGAACCTGGAGGGGCCCTTTTATTTACAGTAATGCTAAATAGGAAAGCTGGAAGTCTTCCTACATGTGACCTGATATTTGAGATGAAAAATGTAAATTCTGTCTCTGCTGATGCCCTAATGATGTTTTCCCAAAGGTGCTAAGTGACAGCGTTCCACTACCCGTCAGTCGTTCATGTTTCTGTGAATGTAAGAGAAATCTTCCAATCCCTGATCAACTGCTGCCCGCCCCATTCTACCCACAGGAGCCGTCCTTCAGCGACCTAGGGGTCAAGTGCAAAGGGTCCCGGCATGAGGAGGTCATCCAGCGTCAGAAAAAGGCCTTATCTGAACTTCGAGCACGAATTAAAGAACTTGAGAAGGCCCGCTCGCCAGGTAAGTCTCCTTCCGAGTCAGCACAGGGGACCCCAGACGCGGGCTCACATTTGGGACTGACCAGTTTGCCAGGAGTACCATATTTTATCCGCATCGTCTCAGAACTCAAAGGACATTGTAACACACAAAACAATGGGCAGACAGTGATCTCAGAGTCAAGTGCAGGCCTTGTTCCAGAGGCTCCAAAGGAACCCAGAAAATACTGAAGGAGATTTTATCCTATTAAATAAATAGGATTTGATGCACAGCTCACTATTGTACTTTTTCTTACTTCACGGTAGCTGGGTGAAAACTTTGTCATGGCTGAACACTGTCTAAGGATCAATGTCTGGGAGCCACTTAGAGTACCTGTTTAGAGGGGCTCGTGCTCTCCTAAGACTTAGGGTCTACTGCAGGTTTGAGCACCGTCTAGGACCTGGAAGCCTGGGTTCAAGTTCCACCCTGGTTCCGTGGCTGGAGGACCTTAGCAAAGTCCTCCCTCAGTGCCTTGGCACTGACGCCTGTGTGGCTGCACCCTCATATGAGCCGGGTGACCTTGGCCGAGTCAGTTAATCCCTCTAGGCCTGTGTCCTCATCTCCAAGGGAGGCGGCCGTGAGGATGAAAACGAGCCTGCGGTAAGCGTCCCGGAAGTAGTAGCTGTGGTCATGACATGAAATCACTTCTTCCTGAGCCCTTCTTTTGAGTCTGCTTTATTCTTTTATAGGTCATAAACACCACCTGAATGAATCAGTTCTAGATTTAAAGAACCTCAGAATGGAAAACAATGTCCAGAAAATACTGTTGGATGCAAAACCGGATTTGCCAACTCTCTCAAGAATAGAGATCCTAGCGGTAACCAAAGAAAATTCTCTCTGCTGTGACTGGCATGGAGAGGAGGGGCCTGAGGGCAGACATGAGCTGGGTTCCCTGGCACAACCGTACATGTCAGTGGTTTGGGGCCAGGTCCTCCCTGATGGGCTGTTGTCTATACTCACTAGTTAGTACCCTGACCCTACCAGTTGTCCAGTGTTTGCACAGAAAGGTGTCCTTCCGTTTCTGCACAGCATGGTTTAGCGTGGCAGTGACGTTGGGCCAGATTAATCACTGAAGCGTGACAGGACCCTTTTCACATCGTGTGTTATATTCTGCAGAACGTGTTCAGCAGGCTAATTTATCATGTTCCACCATGAGTTTGTCTGAAGTTTGCTTTTCACTGTCACCTGAAAAACACAGACATATAAAAGGCAGGAGAAGGGGGCCGTGATTCAGAGCACATAGCTCTAGAGTCAGAGGGACTCATGTCGAGATCCAAGCTCTGCAAGCTGTGTGACCTTGGGCAAGGCTCTTAACCTTTCTGGGACTCCCTTTCCCAGCTGTAAAATGATGATGAAAATACTGAAGGAGATAATTCTCCAAAGTGCTTAACCCAGTGCCTGGCTCAGAGGAAAAACCTGATAAATGATATGTTATTATTATTAAGTACTGTTTAAATAGACCAGGTGTGGTGGCTCACGCCTGTAATCCCACCACTTTGCAAAGCCAAGAGAAGAAGATCTCTCGAGGTCAGGATTTTGAGACTAGCCTGAGAAACATAGCGAGACCCCAGCTCTACAAAAAAAAAATTAAGCCGGGCGCGGTGGCTCACGCTTGTAATCCCAGCACTTTGGGAGGCCGAGGTGGGTGGATCACGAGGTCAAGAGATCGAGACCATCCTGGTCAACATGGTGAAACCCCGTCTCTACTAAAACTACAAAAAATTAGCTGGGCACGGTGGCGCGTGCCTGTAATCCCAGCTACTCAG